GATCATGAACGAGATAGTTTGTAGTTCTTAACTTATAGGTAGCAATGAACATTAAGAAATTTAGAATGCTCATAGAATATTAAAAAATTGCTAAAATATTAAAAGTATTCAAACATTAAAATATACAAATATTAAAAACCAAAATTATTTTAAATATATTTATAGAAAATGATATTTTAATAGAATATTTAGGCTTTACTTGTGTCCCGGACTGCCCAGATAGAAAGAACCAGTGAGACTCACCGAAATGCAAAGAACAAAGAACTTTATAGGTCCGGCAGGCTGGAGCCTGGCTCCCTGTGCAACGCAGTGCTGGGAGACCAAGACCCCCTTCTTTTGGTTCCCAGGGTTTTTATAGTTCTTGGGCAAACAAGTATTACATCCACATTCCTTTCCACATATGGCATATGTCAAGTCTGCCCACTTTATTAGTTGCCCCGCATCTGGCCCTGTGGGGCCAAGAACTTTCAGGTGTCAGGCTTTGTTTTTTTTTTTTCCACAACAGGCGTGTCCTGGACCTGGTCTGTTTCTTTCTCTTGTGAGAAGCCTGTCATGGCATAGCTCTGGCCTCTCTACAGTCATTTCTTAACATATTAAATGCAGGAAATTTTCTTTTTTTTTTTTTTTTTTTTTTTTTTGACAGGCAGAGTGGACAGTGAGAGAGAGAGACAGAGAGAAAGGTCTTCCTTTTGCCGTTGGTTCACCCTCCAATGGCCGCCGCTGCAGCCGGCGCACCGCGCTGATCCTGGCAGGAGCCAGGAGCCAGGTGCTTTTCCTGGTCTCCCATGGGGTGCAGGGCCCAAGCACCTGGGCCATCCTCCACTGCACTCCCTGGCCATAGCAGAGAGCTGGCCTGGAAGAGGGGCAACCGGGACAGAATCCGGCGCCCCAACCGGGACTAGAACCCGGTGTGCCGGCGCCGCAAGGTGGAGGATTAGCCTATTGAGCCACGGCGCCGGCTTAAATGCAGGAAATTTTCATTAACATGCTATGTTTATTTTCATCTATTGTTATGCAACTATATCTACAACTATTTTAATATATTAGTCTATATCTATATTGCATTTTATGTATATGGATATCTATTTAGAGACATAATTTACAGCTCAGTGTTAGGTTACAATATTTCTGAGAGAATTTGATTTAAGTTTTGGCAGGGAAAACTAAGCAACTTTGAATCAAGTTGATATAAAATATTGAAGTTGGAACTGAACTTTATTTTCCAGGAAGGGGTGAATATCTTTCCTGTATCCTGTTCCTAAGGAATTGATCAGAGTACCAAACAATTTTGGCTAAAAACATTGGAAATTTCTAACCTCTAAATTTTGTTATTTCAGCCTGTGAATCTCATCAGGCTCTTTTGGATTCAATTAATTTTTATTCTGAAAGGAACCATAAATTCTATGAAATTTGATTAATTGGTTTCTTTGACATGGTAATTCTGCCTAGTCTCACATGTATATTTTTGCCTTGATTTTCTGGACAAAAGATTTTATTTTTAAATTGTCTTTCCTTTGAAACTATTTTTAAATTTTATTCTCCTTAGATATAAGCTTGAACTTCCTACCTAATCATTGGATGGGAGATTTATTAAATATTAAAGATTGATGAAAATAGTGAAAGTGGATTGAGAATGTCCAATTGCAAAATTGTTTTCATAGTTTGAGTTGGAGAGGAAGAAAGTAATAATTGTTGTGACAAAATAAATATCATTCAATGATGAAGGGACAGCTATGCATCAAGTACTTGTCATTGGCATGCCATATAAAATCTTATATTATATCTTAACTATTCAACTATATTTCCAACCGTGCCCCCATTTTAAATTATCTATGCTTTGCTTGTTCCATTTAATTATTCCTTCCAGACTTCTCCTCAGCTTTCTCTAACACTCTTGTGAATTTGCAGGTCCAAAATTCAGAAATCTTTTAGGTTATTTAGCATATATTCCTTGCTAACTTCCTATCTTTGTTTTGCCATGGTCTTGTATTTAACATGACTTAAATTGGTTGGGTGGGGGCTGGCACAGAGGCACAGGGGGTAAAGCTGCTGCTTGTGATGCTCATATTCACTATGGGAAATAGTTCTTATCTGGATTGCTCCACTTCTGATCCAGCACCCTGCTAATGGCCCAGAAGGCCCAATCACTTGAGCCCCTAGAACCCTAGGGAGACCTAGATGAAGCTCCTCATTCATGGCTTCAGTCTGTCCTAATGTTTGGCTATTGCAACCGTCAGGGAAGGGAACCAGCAAATGGAAGATTCTCTCTCTCTCTCCGTGTGTGTGTGTGTGTGTGTGTGTGTAAATTTGACTTTGAAATAACTAAATCTTTTTATTTAAAATTATGAGGTATACCTTTCTGTAAATATTGTTGTGTAGTGTTAAAGAAAGTGTAGTAATATTTACCAAACATTACCTTAATCAGTTTTCTCCTCAGTTTTAATTATGTATTTAATTATTTATTTTTAACAACCCCGAGGGAATTTTAGATGGGGAATGCCAGTATTATTTATTTATTTTCATTTTTATTTGAAAAGCAGAAAGGCACAACCACACATTCACACACACACACACACACACACACACCCAGAGAGAGAGAGAGAGAGTTCATCCATATGTTGGTTTGCTCCCCAAATGTGTGCAAAAAAACACCAGGGCTGGGTCAGTTTGAAGCCAAGAGCCAGATCTCAATCTGGATCTCCCACTTTGGTGGCAAGTATTGAAGTACCTGAACCATCTCTGCTGCCTTCTAAGGTGTTCATTAGCAGGACCTGAATCAAAGTGGAGTAGCCATAACTTGAACCAAGCGGCAACTCAACTGTATTGCCAAATGCTGTACTTCTCTTCTCACTTTTAGATTTGTTACTGAGAATTGTCTACACTACTTAGCCTATGGGAACAGATAATATTAACATTAAAAGAAGACATAACACTTCCACAATGTTATGTTCAAATACATATTAAATACATATTAAGTCATCATTTCTGATTATATGCAAAGCTTGTTTTCTTCTGTTTAATTTAGTTTTGAAACAGTAATAAAAACAAAGAGATGATAAAAATCTATTCTCTTAGAATTTTTGAAATATTAAATACTTTATTATGAACGTGTCATCGTACAGTATGACATCAATAAAACTTATTTATCCAGTCTATTTGGCTACTTTGCTCAACATCTCCACTTCTGACAGATGGTTTGCTCAGTAGTAAAGATATCAGTGTCTCATACCAGAGTGCCTGAGTTTGATAACTGGCTTCTGACTCCAGCTTTCTGCTAAGGCTGCCTTGGGATGCAGCTGTGATGAGTCGAGTGATTGTGTCCCTGTCACCCACATGGGAGACTTGAATATAGTTCCTTGCTGCAAATATTTGGGGACTGAATAAGAAGACAGGAACTCCTTCTCTGTACGTTTCTCTCTTCCACTCAAATACATGAATAGAAACATTTTTAAAATCTCCCCATTCCATTCTCCTCACATACCTATCTTCAGTTTCTGTTGATAACTTTCTAGTCTGTTTCTACGAAATTAACTGTTTCAGATACTATAAATAATTGAGATTATATGGTATTTATCTTCCTGTGTCTGACTTATTTCAATTAACATAATGCCCTCTAGTCCCACCCCTGCTTTGTAAATGACGGAATTTCATTCTGGTTTGAGGGTTTAGGGTGTGGTGAGGTGATGTATATGCCAATTAGCTTCACTGAATCTTTCTACAGTTAAAAAAATGGATCAAAATATCACAGTGGCCCTTTTAATAAACACAGTCATTGTCAGTTAAATTGTGTGATGTTAATCCTCCACTAGTTTCATATTTGTCCCTATATGTTAGATAAGTGAATCATATTGAAAGCACGCCAGCAAGATGCAGGCTATTGACCACTTCTAAGCACAAATATTGGGTGACTTCAAAAAATTACCTAAAATTTATATGCTATCACTTCATTTGCCTAAAATACTTCAATCTTGTATAATCAAAATTTTATAAATATAATATTTTCTCATTGTCTGCATTATTGTATGTGAATTTAAATTAGTTTGCTTCCTTATACTTCTTGGCATAGTAATGATCAAAATTTTATGAGGAATCAATATCATTCCTGATGGTGAGATTTTAATTAACTGAAGTCACTATATTAAAAAAAAATCTATACTTTCACTACCTGTAGTTTTTTTTTTTTAAGATTTGTTTTATTTATTTGAAAGACAGAGTTACAGAGAGAGGCAGAGACAGAAAGAGAGGTCTTCCATCTATTGGTTCACTCCCCAGATGGCCACAACGGCTGGAGCTGCACCGATCTGAAGCCAAGAGCCAGGAGCTTTTTCCGGGTCCCCCACATGAGTTCAGGGGCCCAAGGTCTTGGGCCATCCTCCAGTGCCCTCCCAGGCCATAGCAGAGAGCCGGATTGGAAGAGGAGCAGCTGGGACTAAAACCAGCACCCATATGGGATACCAGCGCTTCAGGCCAGGGCTTTAATACTCTGTGCCACAACGTCAACCCCTACCTATAGTTTGAGTAATAAAAATATCTGAGGCCTCCAAAAGTTTGGTCAGTTTACTCACCTCATTGATTTTTTTTTTTTAAAGATTTCTTTATTTATTTGAAAGGCAGAGTTACAGAGAGGCAGAGGAAGAGAGAGATAGGTCTTCCTCTGCTGGTTCACTCCCCAGATGGCCACAATGGTTGGAGCTGAGCCGATCCTAAGCCAGGAGCCAGGAGATTCTTCCAGCTCTCCCACATGGGAGCAGGGGCCCAAGGATTTGGGCCATCTTCTCCAGCTTTCCCAGGCCATAGCAGAGAGCTGGATTGGAAGTGGAGCAACTGGGACTCAAACCGGCGTCCATATGGGATGCCTGCCCTGCAGGTGGCAGCTTTACCCACTATGCCATAGTGCTGGCCCCTCACCTCATTGATTTTCAAAACCAATCTGTATAGATACATTGATAATTTCATAATGATTTCTTTAATATTTTAGAACCAAATAAATAATGGAACAAATCTAATATAGATTTATATCAGAATCAATGCATTTATTGAGTAAAAATTTGTTTTTTCAAACAATAATGAGTAGTTATCCTATAACATAAATTTTATCTCCAATGAAGACTTTAGACTTTATTTTGAGTTAGTACACAAATTACAGATTTTCAGATGAAGTCTGTCAGCCAGGATTTGATGCCAGAGACAGGGTGAGAAACTGATAATCAGAAAATAGGAAGCTAAATAGGAAGACTATAACAATTATTAATAGAGGCATTAAAGACATTGGCCAATGGCATTAGAAACTTAATAAGATGATCAACAGACGCCGGATCCAGACCAACAGGTTGGCTGGAAACAAGAAGACTGGCAGGTCCTAGAGGCTGAGCAGGATGGGCGGCAGAACCCAGATCCATAACCCAGTGAAGGAAAGCCATGGACTCTATAACCCAGGGGTCTGAAACCACTAGATCCACAGCCTGAGGAGTGGCAGCTCCTTGGTCCACAGCTCAGGGAATAGGAGCTTCTAGATCCACAGCCCAGGGAGTTGCAGCTGCTGGATCCAAAGCCCTGAGACCCCGTGTAAATTGTCCTGCAGGGATTGCAGAGTGTGGAGGTCCTCCGGCGGTAGCAGGACGTCTGGCAGGGGCTGGACACCACATAGGAAGTCTGGCAGCTGGTGGGCTCACAGCCAGGCTCCTGACAGCCACTGTACAAAGAGGAGCCCAGCTGACATGTGCTGGGACATTGGAGTCCTGCACTGTAGAACGAGTTGTTTGGGTAGGAAGAGCCACAGGAAGACCTTGGGTAGCGCAGGTAGCCCCCAAAGGACTGAGAGAAGGAGTTTCCAGAGCAGCAGTTGTAGGGCATGGTGACTGGAGGTGGGAGAAGGTTCTGAGTTTGGATGTCACTTGTCACTGGGACATTTATATGCTCTCAGCAATGGGTGTGGCCCTTTACTTACAATGTCATCTTTTCCATAGTTAGACTCCCTCATTTGCATATACGTCACTCAGTAAAACTTCTTTGTAATTGCAGCAAACTAACACCCTTCATGTTGTATTTATGGGTGAACTCCTTTTGTTTTTACAGCTCTGTGTCAGTGAAATACACTTATGCTATAAATGCTATGACTGTATGTAATTAGTGTCTACTCCATCACAGCCAGGAAAGCCCCTGTTTTTTCCCAGGCTATGACATGTAAATCTGCTCCTGTTTGGGCTGGAGAATTCTTTCTTCCTAGGGTGAGGACTGTAAAGCAGCCATCTCCCTCTTGGTCCTTGACTGAGAGGAAGAAATCTGGTCTTAATAAGGAACCTTTTAAAGACTCCCTCACCATCAAAGCGTTGTTTCAAATCCTCCAATATAATTTCCATCTGTTACTTATCATCAGTGTTTACTATGTTTAGTCTAGATATGCCACATAAAACCAAGGCAAAGGAATTGAGAGATGACCAGGAATGAACAGCATCTTGCACAAACATATAGAACAAATTTACTATTCAGAAAAATGATGTGAAAACAAAAAAGAGAATGATATGGATGTAAGCATAGGGAAAAAATGTAGTAGATGTGACTTAGATGAGATAGGAAACAAGGAGCAATAGCAGAGGGAAAGGCAGGATTTTCCTGAGCCCAAACCCTGGGGATGAATGGTCCAACCTCATTTAAGTCTTCAAAACTGTTTTCTCTGGTTTAATATGGTTTGAGAATGCTCCCCAGGGGTTCTTGCGCCGGAAGCTCCATCTCCAGTGCAGCAGTTGGGAGGTGGAGGAAACGTTGATAAGGGTGTGCTAGTGGAAGATCATTGCGGGTGCTGTCTTTGGAAGTTCTTGTAGGACCCTGATTAGTTCTCATGAAAGTAAAGTGTTATAAAAAGAGCAAGACTGGCTCCTTTCCCGTCTCTGATTCTCTGCCCCTCGTGTGGTCACTCACACACACTCTGCATGATGCCATGAGACAGTTACCAGAATCAAGCGGAAGCTGGTACCATGCTCCTGGGTTTCCAGAACTGTGAGTTAAATAAACCTATTTTCTTCACAAATCAGTTACTTCACACAGTTGGTTATAGCAACAGAAAATTAATGAATATTTTTTTCAAAATGGATCTAATTCTTGGCATTTATTTTGTAAAATGTCCTATGGTTACCCTCCCTATAAACATCTATAAACTCTCACATCAAAATTTTGAAAGATATCTGAAAATTTCCAAGGACATCTCATCTTCCAATTTTTTCCTCCATATATATATATAGAGAGAGAGAGAGACAGACAGAATTAGACAGTGAGAGAGAGAGAGAGACAGAGAGAAAGGTCTTCCTTTATCGGTTGGTTCACCCACCAAGTGGCCGCTATGGCTGGCGTGTTGTGGCTGGCGCGCTGCGCTGATCTGAAGCCAGGAGCCAGGTGCTTCCTCCTGGTCTCCCATGTGGGTGCAGGGCCCTAGCACTTGGGCCATCCTCCACTGCACTCCCGGGCCATAGCAGAGTGCTGGCCTGGAAGAGGAGCAACCGGGACAGAATCCTGGCGCCCCAGTTGGGACTAGAACCTGGGGTACCGGTGCTGCAGGTGGAGGATTAGCCTAGTGAGCCGTGGCGCCGGCCGCTCCATACATATTGTGCAAGATTCTGTCCCAGATTTCTTAGCAGAGATGGATCCTGGTTTTGTGGATCTTGAAGGGTGTAATATGTGGGGTCCTCAATTAAAAAACTAATGCATATTATAAATATAATAACAAAAATAAATATTAATTTTAATTTAGAATACAAATTAAAACTTCCAAACTTGATAAAAATTACAAATATCACAAAGCAAAGACAAAAACATATAGTCATTGTCATTATCATCATCTATTACTGTTCCATACATAGTCTTTGATCTCCTGTAAATGTGACAATGTCTATGTCATCATGATTTTTATCAAAAAGAACAAAATACAATTTAGTTTTCACCTAGAAATTCTATATAAAATATTTAAGTAATTTTGATAAGACAAAAACATTTCTTTCAACATCACTGCTTGTTATTAGTAATGCCACATCTGTAACATGCTCTGTCATTTCTTCTTGTCAGTCTCAAGCCTTGAATTATGTTCATCGTAAGTATCCCTAATTTACCTCCTCTTCTTTTCTGCAGGCCCTGATGGTTATGGTGAGGATCAGCGGAAATGGATGCAAACCCTGGGTTTTAAAGGCCTCCTAACAAATAGCACAGCTGTGTGTTGTCCCAAACATTCTTCTGAGGTACAGACTCCCTGGGGAGCTTTTCATCAGCTCCTACAGTGGTTAGTATCTCCACCTACCAAAGCTTCCAGAGTTTCATGACAAGGACACCAGAGGTAGAAAATATCTAGGAGTAGTATAGGCAGGCCTATACTCCAGGACTCCAGTACTACCATGAAGGACTCCCAGGCTCCAGCCAGCTAGTTAGAACAGACTGGTCCTTCCAGACTCCCTGAAGAGTCCCAATAGAGTTTCGAGAAAAGTTAAACAAGGGAGTAGCCCTTAAGTTTAAGCTTCATTGAGTCAAAGGCATCTATGCCTCTCCCTGAATACCCAATCAGATTCTGAACATGCGTTCATAATTGTCTTTCTGTGCTTTCAGAAACTCAAATGGGATGTCCAGAGCTCTATCAGGACACTCATCATGGAAGTGACCCTCTTCAGCTAGGATCCCAATCTCACTTTTCGTAATCAGAAATCATTACATGTGTTCTTATTGTTCCTTTTGTTAGATGTCTTTGTTCCTCTTTTTACAAATAAAAGCACAAAAGAAAATAGAAAATGTCCAATAGCCTTATTAGATTCTCTGAAAATAGCTTTATGTTTCCTCACAACTCAAGACAAATGCACTGATGTAACACAAACTAAGGTGAAATATGTGATATTAGGAGCTTGAGAAATACCTTGGCTTACGTCACTGAATTGCAATTCTAGTTACCAGAACATAATAAAATTATGTGACAGATGCTAAAATTATTAATGTTTCCTCAGTGTAAAAGTATTTTTAATTGACGTTTTAAAAAAAAACACATAACATTTCTACAGTCTTTGTATAAGTCAAAGGAATGATGAAGTGCCTGCTGTTTACAAGTTTATCTATGATATTCTGTATCTCTACATTTCTCTCTATATGGGCATATGGTCTCCAGAATAGAAATCCTATCTCATGTGATGCTATGCATGCCATTTGTTCCTGAAATGCTTGTATTCCAAAGAAGTTTTTATCTCAATTGAGAGTGACTTTTAGTCAACAGGATGCAAGATTAGTGTTAATTAAAACAATAAAGTAAGAAACATTGTCTTCCATAATACAACCTGCAAGATAACCTCACAGGCATGCAGTAGTGCCCTCTCTCTCCCTTTCAAAAATGTATTTATTTATTTGAAAGGCAGAGTTTCAGACAGAAAGAGGGACAGAAAAGTCTTCCATCCACTGGCTCACTCCCAAGATGGCTGCAATGGCTGGAGCTGAGCTGATAGGAAACTAGGAGCTAAGAAGAGCTTCTTCCAGGTCTCCCACGTGGGTTCAGGGGACCAAGCACTTGGGCCATCTTCCCCTGCTTTCCCATGCCATAAGCAGCAAGTGGGATTGGAAGAGGAGCAGCCAGGACTCGAACTCCTGCCCATATAGGATGCTGGTTTCACAAGCAGAGGCTAAATCTACTACAGCACAGCACTGGCCCCTAGTTAGTGTCTTTTAAATGGAGACTACTATCTGTTGATGTAGTGCACATATATGCAAAAACATAGATATCCCTGTAGAAATATATGAATAGATAGAAGAGGAGCAGTGGGCGTAATAACCAGGCCCATGTGAGATGCTGGTGCTGCAAGTGGAGGCTTAGCCCACTATGCCTCAGCAATGGCCCCAATGCCCTTCTCTTCCCTGACTAAATTAAGCCCTCTTCAAATCAGTGTGGTGGTGAGTGTTGGAAATGATGGAAATGTCAGAGAACAGCTTTCAGGTCCTCAGCCAAATCCAGCCTCTACAGGTTTGCTTGTCTGCAATTGTAGAAACTATTGGATTTATATTAAACTCCAAATTAGCTGCCAATATTTAACAATTGGAAGGGTTCACATAAATATGGATTTTAATCTATTTGAGAACGTTCCAAAAATCTTGTGGCACTGGGTTCACATGCACAGTTGGCTGGAGCTGAGCACAGGCAGCCCCTCTATTTAGCTGAGTGCAATACTTTTCAATCCCACTGTAACAGCGCCTCTTTCCTCTCTTCTGTAAAGCCAAATTTCAGTATTTCAGTTGTCATTAGTCATCTTACCCCCACTATGATCATGTTCTCCTTGTTAATGTCTCTGTCATAGTGGGACAATGAGAAGTTAATTAAGAAGCTTTGGGCTTTATGAAAATCTGTGAAAACAAGCTACATTTTGTGCATTTGAAGAATATTCTTCCACATTCAATACGGAAATACAATGTGTGTTGAGGGATTAGAATATAAAACATCAATCATGAATCAAATCACAGGTTAGCCTCACCAACTCATTTATATTTATAATCTGTCTAGATCACATAGTGATTTGAAGTTATCTCCACTAATTTAAACTGCATTATACTCAAGAAGAATGTGACTCAGTTTTTACATGCTGGACAAAGACTTGAATATTTGATGCTTTCTAAATATGCAACAGGATTAATAGTAGGTCATTTTAGGACACACAAATAAACTGAGTAATAAATAGTTGAAGAAAAGCAGATGATTGAACAACTAATGCCACTCCATATGTGGTTCCATCATTGTTGGAAAACACTCCCTTAAAATCAAAGGATGAGCTTCAGAGTCATTTGCAGGCATGCAAATCAGCATAGGGCTTGTCTGTTCAAATATATAAAGTACAAAATTAAAAATACAGGAGAGAAAAAGTACAGGAGATAACACCCATTTTTTGTTTCTAATATTAT